ATATAATATATATATATATATATATATATATGTATATATATATATATATATATGTATAGCTTTCAGTTTCTCTTTATATCAATATGCGTGTTATGTGTGATTCGTATCGTGTGTGTGTGTGTGTGTGTGAGTGTGTTAGAATATATTATTTAGTCGCTTAAATATCTCATTTGATTATTATTTATGATGTGTATCGTACGTTTGATATGAGAGGATTAATCCCATATATATAATTTTTGACGAAAAAACAAAAATGAACGTTGGCACAGACAGTGGCTGGGTTAAGGCACTTTGGGGTGATTGATTCTCTCCGCAGTACCCTCCAGCATAACTATCTTATTCTCGAATCCCCCGCTACCTTCCCCTTACACCTCTCCTGCAGCCCATCGCTTGGCTCTATTTCCTTAATTCGCCTTTTACCTATATATATATGTATGTATATACGTATATGTCGTGTTCGTAATACTACTCTCGAATAACCGTGCGGTTCTTGTCTCCCGTTGAATCACGAAATCCTTTTCTCCCCTTTAACTACCTTAAAAGTACAATACGCTGTCTCTGGTGAGCGTTGGAGTGTAAATGGCGAATCGAGCGCAGCTCTCACAGCGGTTTTGTGAAATTCGCCGGGAACATTCCCTTCTCGTTGGTGCCTTCTTTGATGCCCATTAGCCAGCCTTCTTCCTGCAGCATTCAAATATATGCGCGATAACATTGCGGGAGGGATACCAAACGAAAACATTAACACTACGCGCAATTTGAATATCACAATAAATATTAGCTTTGATTTGTTTACTCGGAAGATCACACAAACCTGTTCCTCAGGATCGTCGTACTCCACGACGCGTATGATTTCGCCGACGTCGAACGATAGCTCGTCCACGTCCTCGCGGCTGTACTTATAAGTGGCCTTAACTCTGTACAAAACACCCGGCGGTAGATTGTCAGTCGTTGCCCCTACAGAGAAATTCGTAGCATTTTCATATTCCGCCTCTAGAACGATCGAGTCCGCCCCGTTGGTCATGGACCTGTCTGTGATTTTGTCCGCAATGGAAACTTTGATTGACATTGCACCAATTACATGTATAGTGTTTTTAATTTTTGTTTTATTTTTTAACAACTTTATAATTAACGTTCAATACCACAACTAGGTCAGATTCACTACGATATCTTGTTTCTGGCAAGACCATGCACAAAGGGGCAGGCACTGTACTACTGTATTATAATAACAATAATCCGTTGCTGCAAATTTTAATAACATTCAATTAATTGTGTGTTATTATTTTACAAAAAAAACAATCAATCAACAACTGAAATATTAAACGCACGCGCTTATTGCTTTACTTTTGCAAATTACGTAATTTTAATTATAGATACAACAAAGTATTAAGGTCGACAATTCAATATGCCGGATGTACAAACGTGCAGTTACATATATTATATTTGTTTTATCTCTTTAAATGTGTAAATTAATACACATAGAGATTCGAATTTAATTATTATATCTATTGGCTTGTATCGACCTTAATACTTAGTTATACATTTTTACTATAGCTCTTAAATTGTTGTTAATTATAGATATTCTACATTTCTCATTTCTATTACATTGAAACATTAACTTTTGTATTTAAGTGTCAAGAAAAGTGAGAAAAACTCGATTTTTTCAAAATTGACGAAATGTTTTGCTCTACATAAAGTTTCGTCAAACGTCACTCAAGATTGATTTACATATACGGAACTTGGATTGTGAAGATCGCTATTAAAATTGAATTAAATGGTGAAGCGCAGTGAAAAAAAAAAATCAGTGCAAAATTCGCGAGCAACTTACCAACTGGAATATCGTACAACTCCTCGACCCGTTTAGACGGCGCGACTACGCTCTGCGGCGACGCATCTTGATTATCGAGAGAGTTATCATTGCTGTTAGCGTTGCTGTTAGCGTTGCTATTAGCATTGCCGTTTATCTGAGTGGTTGGCGACGTGTCTATGGCGGCGGGCACAGTATCGTCTAAAGCTGAAACACGCGAGAGAAAGCACACTCAAAACCAAGTGCCGAGCTAAAACACGGCTTTTTACACACATCGAAGCTACGCGGGAACGTTCCAAAGTCTTTCTCGAGTTTCACGTCCCGCATACAGACATCCACGTGAGGCATGCAAGGAACATAGTTAGTCGCACGCACGTGTATAGATTGCAAACGAAGAAAAGATATGACAAAAAAGTGATTACCTCCTGCGATATTGTTCTGCGCCGGTTGCGTGTTGATTATTAGGCTGAAATAAATAAAGACTGGATGTTAGAGTATTGTATAACTGTGCTGTACTACAATTATTATACGATTTTAGCGTAATGACCGCTTTATATCGCGTTTTATGCAACTATCATTTGATATTATATTTTGCAGATATAGTTGCAGATATAGTTGCACGGTATTGCGGCCTATGTAATTAGTTACTTTTGTAATTAACGTTTTCTTTATGTAGTTCTGTGTTTATGTTGCATACGCACGTAATTAACTGTGTCTAACAAATTTGTTTTACGTAATTGCTGTTCTTCTTTCACTTAAGGAGGTTTGGGACACATTTAAAGAATGACAGTTTTTGAAACTTGAGAATCTTGATCATAAAATAAAATTTTACAATAAAGTTTTTAAATATTTACTTCCGTGAAAAATTCCGAGAAAATCGTTATTGAAAATTCGGTAATTTCAGAAAAAATTTGTACTGATAGATTAAGAACTTGGGAATTCATTGTAATAAAAATTAAATGATCTTTCCACGCAACTCAAAAAAAAAAAAAAAATTATTAAAATACCAAAACGAGTTTTAAAGTTATAAAAAAATGGCAATCAGCTCGGCAATCAGTTGTTTATTTCTTTAATCGCATTCAAAGTAGAAAGCAATAGGAATGTACAGTCCTATATAACAAAATAAATAACAAAATAAAACTTAAAATATAATAACAAGATAAAAATTAAAAAATTCGTAAAGATAGATAAGATATATCACTCCATTTTCCTTTACCACTTGATTAACAGTTCCTTAATCTCACTCATTGAGTATTCAATTTTGAGTATTTCAATTTACTTACGATGAGTTCGCGTTGGGCGACTTTGGCGATTGTGGTTCTGTATTTTTCTTTAGTGTGTACGATCCTCGTTGACTTTCATTGGCCAATTTATCAACGATTGCTTCTAATTCGGAATAAACCTAAAAACGTAAACATGTATAAAAACGAATTTTTTATTATTCATTTTTTCTGTTCTGCGATCTCTGTGTGTCATCTCACACACTTGTTCCGCGCAAGATACTCTACAGAGTATATTATATGGTATATACCTTGGCACTTTCAGTATGAAACACTTGCTCCGCGGCGAAGAGCGTCTGTAGATTAGTGACGAGGAAAAGAACACGCGAGTCGTACAATGCTGGCAGTTCATCGTGCAACTCGGAATTTAGCTGCTCGTACGTACGCTTCGCCTCTTCCAACAGTTCTTTCCCCCGGGATACTTTAAGTTCGTCCCGTTTCTTTGGATTGCATTGCAGCGATTGGAAGTTGTGCCTCTGACTGTCGTAATCAACCAGCTTTCGACCGCGTTTGTCGATTTTTTTCTGAAAATCGATGAAATACATGAAATTAAGCGGCACATCGTAGACAGCGTCAAACAACAACTATCAAAAATTGTACAAGACCTACCCTCATCTCCGGAAACTGACTTTGATATGTGTTCAGCGGCACAAGAACCTGGTCCGCAAGCTTGTGAGTGAAATCTTGCCATAGCATGTCGAGATTTTGTGCTTGCACATACAACAGATCGTGTCCAGTCCACTGGCTCTCGTAGATTTCATTCAACGAGTCCATGAGCGTCTTCGAGGCAGCTTGCACCGCTACGAAACGAAAATCATCGGTTCACTTTTATCTTCAAAAATAAAAAAACAAACAAACAGATAATTTAAAACGTTTTCTAATTTGTTTTCCATATTTACGTGTCAAATAGAAACAAGATATTTTCCTGATTTTGTAATTGCGTGAACACATATGTAGGTACTTGGAAAGTTTTTATAGATGCAAGACAACGTAAAAACAAATTTTGCGAGATGCAGATAACGGAATAATATTTTCGAAAAGGTCATCGGGAAAGACGGAGACGTATTTCGCAAGCAGTACAAAAACAAAATGTTCCAACGGGTCAGGACACGTAGGTTTTTACTCGAGAAATACGCGCGCGCGCGCGCGACGCGAGTGACTACTTTCCTGACCTACATCTAAACCTCTCTTATAGTGCGTTCACCTGCGGCGATAAGGCGATTGCTTACAAATTCTTTCGCTCATGCACGCCGCATAAAAGTTAAGCTGTTATCTCTCGACTTCAGAATTGAATTTTGAGTCTTTTAATCCATTCCAAGATTTGAGCGTGAAAGTAACGCGTAAGTCGGTAAAGTTGAGTCATTTCGTGTAATTGTATTTACGCGTAGCTCCATTGTGCGGATGATTCGCATTAGCGCACTAACAGCTATTAGCGCGCGAATTACGGTAATCGAGCGGCGCGGTGTCATCACTTTTTAGTCGATTCAATCCGTAGCCAACAAGAGCTGCGCTAAGCGTCATCGTTAACTTTGTTTTTTTATCCAATTATCCTGGAACTTTAGACTCGGACTCAGAGTACGGAAGATCACGTCAATATAAGTCGTAATTATATTTATCTTCGTAACGCGTTGGGAAACAGTATTACCCGTATTTTTCCACTCGATTGCCGGATTATGAGCAATTTCATCGGTAGAGAAATTCGCGCTATCTGTTGACACAAGTTTTGCATGCGGGTATTTACGTAGGAACGACGTTACGTCCTTTCAAGCGACGAAAGGAAAGCTAAAAGAGATACTGGTTTTCTGCGTCCGAAATTAACACTTCCAAAGAAGTCGCCTACGAGCGCGTAGTGCGATGTTAGCATAACGGCACGTAGTGTGATCTCACCGTTTTTTTGCAAAATTACTGTTAATTATTAGTTTTATATTGATTATTAATTTTTTATCGCGTTGTGGGTGTCTCAACGTCTGTGTGTCAATTTTTTAATTTTATTAATTTATAAAAGAAGAATTCAACCAATTTATTTGAGAGTCGAGTTGTACAAAGAATTAAATTAATCTTGCGAGAGAGATATCGCAGCGAGCCACATCGAGAGACTTTTCCACATCAGCAGAAGCTATAAAAACATAATACAAATAGCAGCACGTTCTTGTCCAGCCGAGCGTAGAAATGTTGTTTGCAACACACAATTCAAGTAGGAAGGATTAAAGAGCGAATGACGTTTTGCTATTGATTTCGTGCCTGTTTGTCAGCCTCGTGGCGAACCTTGCCACTGAAGTGAGAAAGAGAGAGAAAGAGAATGAATGCGTGTCTGGTTTTGCCAGACTTAAAGTGCATAATCCCACTGCGCTTGCCGAGAAACGGCTACGGAAGCCTAAAAAATTTGTTAAAATTCTTCAGATGTTGAAATTACAAAGAGATACTAGAGTGTATTAATTTATTAATCAAACAAATTTGTTTATATTCGCAAAAGAAACAAAATTGTAAAAGTTTCGATAACATTTCGTAAATATATTTGAAAGTTTTATAATAAAACTTGCAATATTATATTTTTTCATAAAATCATAATAATTTAAAATATACAAAAAACAAACAGTTAGATTGAGAAGTATGATATAAAACAACAACAACAATGTCTCTGCAAAATAATTATGTTTTCACGATCGACAGTCAAACCAAAATTAAGAAATCGAAGTTCTCGAATTTTTCTTTAGTTCGCTTCGTATCGATTGTACAGGTGAAGGTATGTAATCGTGATGTTATCTTATCTGAAATATTAACAATCGTGACAAGGTCGTGTTATTTAAGATTTCGGACATACACCGCGTCTGAATGGCGCGGAAGATTGACATTATTTAACGCGACGAATTACGCAGAGAGTAATTTCTTCCTGCCGACTTTCAAAGGTCGCTTCATATATACGATATACGTGAGACACGTATGTACATATGTATGTATACATGTATATACCTGCGGTGTGCGAATATTACCGAATATATACGCGATTAAATATTACGTCGGTTCCGCCCGACGATAATTGATGCCGGTGAGTCTGCGCACAACTGCCGGTCGTTATTCAATACTCTCGCGAGTTATTCATCTGTCCGTCATTCATCCAGAAGATGATATGCGATAGAAGCGAATCGGACTTGAGTGTCTGACAAACGAGAAAAATAATTTTCTTGATGAGACAGGTCTCATTTAGTTAAGATAAGTGAATTTCGTGAGCAAAACAAAAGTTTTCAACAAGAATTATAACTCGTTATGTAACCGAATTATGTCTATTTATGTAATTGTGTAATGGAAAACTTTAACAACATAACGTTTTTAAACTAAATCAAGAAATGGAATTTTACAGTCATATGCTGGACGTATGTGTACGAAATATATATTTATTATAATATATTTAGTATTGATAAATATATACGTTTATTATATGTGTTTTTATCATGTAAATTAATACACATATGGAAAATTCGAATTAAATAACAATTCTAAAATTCATATACAATGCTACTTAGCATTCTGTTACATTCTATTACGTTATTTGTTGTATTTCACGCAGGATAAAGATTGCGTTATTACTTAGCTTAGATTGTGTGTGTAAGTCACATTCTAATATCGCGAAGAATTCACTTTGGTGGCCAAATTGAGAAGATGACTGTAATTAGGATTGCGAGAGATCCGAGTTCGATTCCTGGTCAAGGTGGTCTTTTTTGCATTGAGATTTTTTTTTCATTGGGAGATTAAACGGGCAATTCATATACATACGCGTGATGCAAAATATCCTATGTGAATTTTAGAATTTAATTCGAATTTTGTAATTTACACGTTAAAAATATATATTTTGTACGTACATTCGACGTATGGTTGTGTAAGGTCTTATTTTTTTGTTTAGTTTATACTCAAGAAAATTTTTACTCTATTATTTTAATCTCTATTTTTAATCTTTATATGTAAAATATTGCTATAAAATTCTTTATTAACTTAGAAAAAGAAGAAGAAGAAAACAAAACTACAACAGGTACTGAATCTGAATTGCAAAGTAAGTGCATGATTGATGCATCTATTTTGTTCTAAAATCGGCAAGAAAGTGCATGCGAGACAAAGTGCGGAGTTAGAGTAATGTATTGTCCGTATGAGCTTAGCAACCAGGTCACGGCGATGCAAGATAGAATAGTTTGTTTTTTTTTAATGCAAGTCGCGTTTCGCATGGGTTTTAATTCGACGATTCTATAAATATACAGCTCACATCGTATAGACGCGGAGATTTGCATACTTGCTTGTACCGCCGAAAAAAAAGAAATTTCAGCTCGATGCGTAAAACTTCGGACGTCCAAGTAGGTACGTTCATCGATAATTTTATGTTTTTGCGCGTGCTTAAAAGGCGTGTGTAAAACATGGTGAGCATTAAAGCGTCTAATAGATACACGGCGACCGCCATTTAAAGGAAAGACGGTGCGATCTAGTTTTGTTCCGGCGAGACTCGACTTACCTCGAACACACCTGATGTAATTGTTGAACTCCTTTTGCAGTCTGTTGGCGGAGTTCTGCTGTCTCGTGAAGTTCTGCAGGTGCTCGTCGAATATATCATCCGCGGTTCGGTCGACCTTGCCAAGATTTTGAAGAAACTGCAATAAGAAAGAAAAATACAGTAGTTATTTTTTTATATTTAATTTTTTCTCACTCTTTTCGATTTTCTAATAAGAAATGAAATTGAGTTTTCGAGTATGGAAACAAGATTGGGCTAGCGTTAGCTGATTTTTGCGTAGGTCTGTTTCTCAGACACTGGCTCTGCGTGGGCGTAAAGCATCTCCATAATGAGATGTTCAACTTTCTTTTCTGAGACTTTGCGTGGAAGATTCAACTTCCGATAAGAACTTTTGAAAACATCCTTTCCATCTTTTATATTTTAAATCAATTTTTTTTTACAAAGGTTGTCACGTTTTATAAAGGTCATTCAGCTCTCTCTCTCTCTCTCTCTCTCTTGATAAAAAAAACTCTCTTTGTTCATGTAATTACTATCATAGAGCATCGAGTATGATACATATCGCTCAGATAATGCAGGTGAACACACGAATGTCACAAATGAGGTTTTCGTACGCCAACGAAACGATAAACGCTGCCTGCATTGTGATATTGAAGTCTGAAACGTTCGTCGAGCGAAAAAATATAATTCAACGAGGACGTGCCTTGGCTTTCTTTTGCGGGCAAAGCGAACACACTCTATCATGTGACGTTTATTGACACGTGAGACTGTTACTTTTTTTGGAACGAAAGGGAGGGCCTGGGAAAATTTTACTTTAAAGCGGCAGACTAAAAACAAAGGATATAGATTCTTGATATTTCGAAAGAATGAGGAGTGGAATGTGCGCCAAAGAGAATGCTGGCGGCGCTCATGTCGGTTACATCTCCCTTGGGTTGGGTCAGAAATCAAAGGCTGGAACGTCCGCAATGGAAATCGCGCGAGTCAGTCGGCGGTTGCGTAACCACCGACCGATTCTATTCGCGGAGATCCGAAGGCGAGAGGTACGCCGACCTTCTTGCGAATAAACCAACAATTCGCTTCTCGTTTTCCCGCCCCGGGAAATCGAAGAGAGCAGATTATCCGATTTCCGCGTTTTGCCAGTTTTCCGCGAATTACACCCGCAATCTATTCCACACACGGACGCTTGATTTTTGTAACGTCGGCAACACGCGGAATGTAGTGCCAAAGTAGTTCTAACTTTCGTTTCTTTAAACTTTTCTTATTGTTATTGTTAATAATAAACTACAAATATAGTTTATAATTATGATACGTCAATGAATGCGAGAATCGTTTAACATTACGAAGAGACGACGTCGCAGCTGCAACAGTAATTATAGGGTGCCGCTTTAATTACGTTTATTCAGCGAAGAAGAGAACGGCTAATAAAACGCATGTGTCGACTGCGTCCGGTGTTATCACACGCATAAACGTTTTAGATTAATTCTTTCAGTAGTTTCTATGACGTCGTTAAGGGTGGTTAAACCGCGCAACGATGTAATTTATGTCTGGCTATTATTAAACGAAATGATCGCGGAGAGACATCGATGTGAAAAGATACGGTAAACAACCCGGAAAGCAACAAATATTGTACAAGCTCACGTAGCGTGCAACTAGCAGAAAATTAACGATCAGCAGGAATTAATATGCTGGATGTATTATGAAAATAGTTTTTAAAAATATTTGCACAGTACAAATATTGTTTGTAAATTAACAAAAATGTTTTTTATAAGTTACTACACAGAACTGAATTCAATTCGAAAAATTATCTAAGATGCTGAAGATCATCTAATTTGCATCTCGTATACAGATGTTTCAAAAATAAGTGGCCAAACTCTGATGTCACATGCTACTCTCCCTAGGAACAAAAAAAAGTTTATATCTCGAGAAATAAAAGAATTTTCGAACTTATGCTTATATGACGTTTTTTAATCCTTAGGGAGAGTAGAATACGATATCAAAGGCCATCTATTTCTGAAGCACTGTATATAAAATATCCAGTAACGGGTGCAAATATCCATTAATGAGTATTTTACAGAAATTCGAAATGAATTAAATTCAGAAAAACCATTTAAGGTGTTTAATTTGCATCTTATATACATATATATATACACACATATATATATATATATATAAAATTAATGGGTATTTTATTTATATAAGATGATTAATAATTTATATACATGAGATGCAAATTAAACATTTTAGGTGATTTTCTAATTCAAATCGAATTTCTGTGTGTATTACACGTTCAAAAGATATATTTTGTGCATACATTCAGCACATTGGTTCCTACTGACTGTCAATTCTTTGTTAATTGAACCTGAAAAAAATTGTTCACGTAACTGATATATAGTTTTTATATATCATTAACACCAACCCTGTAAACCCGTAAACTTATTGTCCGAGCGATGTTTGAAAATGAAATATTTTGGTATATTTTTTAAAGAAAAGAAAAAAATAAAAACAATATCAAAACTAATTATTTTCTCAATTTGAAATGTTGAATAAAGTTTTTAACCAATAAAAAATCGCGTCACAAACATAAATGTCATTTGCACAGGATTAAATAAGTTGTGCATGATTATATTACATATTTTATAGACTTCTAAGTATTGCGTTACGTGATGAACGAAGGATTTTCCTCGGTGTATGTCACGATATTCAGACAAAGAGGAAGTTATCGTATTCTCGAGCGTCGATTTTCGTTTTTGATATTTAATACAATCCTTTGTGAATCATCCGTAATACAGAACGTGTTCTCATCGCGAGATAAGCCCTCCCCAAGTGAGAGGAGCGGCGGGAATAGTGTTATCTAGGTGAGTCACGGCGACTTAAGTGCCGACGAAAACTTGGATTGCGTTTAACTTGCATTTGCAACACAGATGCACGATCAACATAATTAGTTATACGGGATATCGACCGTACCGTTACGTCGCGAAATATTTGTTTTGCGAAATAACGCGCGGTAACCACTTATTATTATTCACCACACGTGAACGTACAAGTACACATTCCTCCGATATAATCGATATATGTTAATCGGTTTTAGATCCAACCTAATGAGAATTAATACGAAGAGAAAGACGACTAAATTAGACGTCTTTATTGCAATTTATTAAAGCTGAGATTAGCATAAAAAGATACACTCTGTGTAAAGATCTGATTCGCAGATTACACCGAGACAAACATCACACACGACCGTGCGCCACGACCTACTGCGCGACTCAGCCGAAGTGTTTTTTTTTTTTTTGTTTTTACATATTTGACACAAAGAGAGAGACACAATTTTTGTCACGATCTCTCGTGTGTTCGTGTACTGTTATCGGGTTAACGTGTGCAATTTCCACTCGATACCTCGAAGCAGGTGAGAACGAAGCAGGACTGAACTCATTTACACGCGCGCGCGTAGCCGACTTGCACGTAATCTGCACAGCACGCACGTACAACATGTAATATACAACACGTAATTATTAAATACCCGAGAGCATCATTGTCGTTTATAAATAATATTGTTTGCATAAATTTCACACCGCGTGAATTTTGTGCATTTTTTTCCTACATTTTATAAAAATACCTACCGAAAACGCGTTGACAGAACGTTGATTCAATAAGTGCGTCACGACGACTCTCGGAACTCTCTTTTTTTTTTTTCGAAATCATTCCCCTCGACAGCCAACCAATTACTCGTTGCTTCCGGTGTTTTCTGTATAAATAGGAAAACTTTCTCTTGCGCGTGATAAGGCGACTATGGAGGAAATATGGAGGATTGAATGCCCGTCGTGATGCTCGGGCTCTCTTACGTTGCGAAAATTATTCGCTTCAAATTCTAGTCTCCTGGCACGGCCGCGCGAACGTGCTCTATTCTCGTCTACAGGTTTTTCTTCTAATAAATTTAACATCACATTATTTCAGCATATCCCGACACGTAATCCACCTCGTGTAGTCCGTCTTTTGCACTTCGCACGCGGTTTACTGACATATTTTTCAATATCGGTTGAGAAAAAACCCGGGCTTGTAACGCCGGACACGTGTCGTTTCCGAAATAGACGGTCCTCTCCCGGCATTATTAATAGCCGAGCAGATGACGCGCGAATGTGCCGTTGCATCGCTATTATTGTGCCATCCTATGGCCCCGTTTTGCCACTTGCTCCGTTCACATTGTGCTCCGGATCGTAAAGACCCATTGTCTCTCTCGAAATGCGGATAACGTAAGAAAAAAAATTGCAAAGCGGCATACGAGAGGAAGGGAAGAGCAATTATACTCTCCTATTCTTAAGAAAATGTAAACGTTTCTCTCCTACTTAACACTCTTACATAGAATATATGTAACGTGTTACGTAGGATTACCGTTTAAAATAGTGGAATTGTGTGTTTTGAAAGTGTGTATCTGCCTGCGTAATTAAAATCGAACGAGTAAATACACCTACTGCAAATTTGAATTAATTATAACAAAATGGCAAGTACTGTGAGTTAGATTATTTAAAAAAACCAATAATTTTCTTGTTCAAAAATTCACTAATATAACAAATGTTGTTAATTTTATGTTTTGTATCGATCAAATTGCAGTTTAGTCGCCAAAATGGCATTGTACTGTAACGAACACGTTGTTTGTGATTCATATACAAGCGAAAAAATAATCGGACTGAGAAAACGCGACAATTTTCACGAGAAATGACTTCAATTTCGCGCAGTGTTTATTTATTTGCGTCGAATATAACAATATTTCTATTAAAAAACGCAAGAAGTTATTTTATTTTTTTATTCTATAATAAAAGAAATGTATTTTTCACAAAATTTTCAATTTTACAGCAAAAAGTATTTTATTTTTTCACATGACTCGTCGAACATTGTTAAAAGGTTAAAAAACAATTGTTTGCAGAAATTAAAAATGTCTGAGATACTCTAAAAACTCTGTAAGGCGACCGCGGCGCTCCCGTCTCGCGTAACACAAAATCTAACGTGTGTGTCTCGCATAAATGAATCGCGCGGCGTGACAGCAAACCGTTAACGAAAGTGACGAAAGTTTTGCGTCGAACCGAGAGAAGACGCGCGTTTTTCTCGCGGCAATGAGATTCTCTCGGCGGGCGCGAAACCAATCGCGGA